AGAAAGTAGATCCATGGTTGAGAGAGGGCTCAGGGAGAGGAAAATACAACTAACTGCTAATAGGGAGGGTTTTTTTTTTCAGGATGACGGAGACGTTCTGGAATTAGGTAGTGGTGATGATTGTACAGCATTGTGAATATGCTGGAAACCACTGAACTGCACATTTTTAAATGGTGAATTTTGTTATGTGAGGTATATTTTAATGGGAAAAGATGCCATTAGATATATAGTTGAAAATTCACGGTGGGCGTTGAGTAGCAAATGGATTGTGTTGGGCAGGAACAGTGGAGGCCGTTAGGCAAAGGACCTGAAGGCAGGAAGTCTGACCAAATTCACACACTGAGAACCGGTTAGATGTTTGATTCCAAATCCCATGTTCTTACCTCTATGCTGTATAGGTTGACATAAGGAAAGGGCCTTGAATTAAGCCACTTAGGTGCCCTTTCATGCCATCTATCTCCAGAACTACTCTCACCATGTTTCCTGAGGCCATTTCTCTGTTGAGCCTTCAAGCACTAGAGCTGCTGTTTGGATGTAATTGTGACAGACTGAGGAAATCTCCTTTCCTTCTTCAAATCAGAGCGATCAGCATGAAGATCTACTGATCAGAGATGAGATAGATCAGGGGCAGTAAAGAGTTCTGGCAGCATAAGCTGGGATTCCTCTTAGGAGAAGAACTTTCTTGCACCCTCATGGCAAGAAAAGTGTTTCAGTTTTACAGAAGGATTATAGAGGACTTCTTTCTTGGAATATTGGGAATTTTGTTCTCCTGGATTTGTTCAAGGATCTTGACCTGAATGTTTAAAAAAAAAATATCTAGGGTGGGATACTTAAGGGATTTTTATTCATAAAGTGCTTTTAATGTCCTTTTCTTTGGTGGGAGCAAAATATTTTGTTACGGGCGGAGGACAGAGAATATCCAATAAAAATGGGATACATGAGAATCTCATGGTAGATGTGCTGAGTGCTAGAGTGTGGAAAAAACAACTTGGTTTCCAAGGTTGGTTTTTTTTTTCCCCCCTGCAAGGGAACTCAAGTTTAGAATAGAATAGAATAATGGAGAAAACATTGTAATAGTGTGCCCTTGTAATCTTTCCCAGTATCCAGGCTGCAAAAAAACAAAGATGAGGACCAGAAAGAGGCCTGGTCAGCCTCCTCACATAGAGGTCCCATGCACCAGGCACAGGCCATCATCCTTAACAGCATGTCCTCACCTTTTCTAGTTTTCAAAATGTTATTGCCCACTGGCCCCAAAGGCAAACAACTTGCATTATATGCTATGCCCCTTCCTTTCCCCCACCAAAGTCGATATGCAGTCCATCCATGTCAGTAAACTAGTGCCCCTACAGGTGTCCACAGTGACAGAAGAAACTATTGAACAAGGAGAAACCTGGGAATTGAATATAATACTCAGAGCCAGGCATGGCTGAATTCACTCCATCATACTTAACTTTTAAATTTCTTTTTAATCAATTAGAGTTTTGTCTCAATTATGGGTGTGTGTGTGTGTGTGTGTGTGTGTGTGTGTGTCCATCTCATGAATTCAAGTACTGTATGAGGAAATTCTTGGCAAGTCCCAAGTGCTACGCAAACTAACAAATTCTATTATGATTATCCCAATCTTACAAATCCAATGTCAGCTTGAGAATTACTTCTCAGGTAAATAATACCTTTAAGAAAGTCATGCTTGCCTTCCATTATTCTAAGACATAGGAAACCATTCAATTTTTATTTTCTCAAATGTGAAAAACAAACTCATTTGCAAAGACTTCCAGTGTGAAATTGTTTCCAGGATTATATGTGTCACTTCCTAGACACCAAGGAGAGATTCCCTTTAAATAGTTTTACGCCCTACTCATGAAGTATTTTCATTACTTGGACCACTAAGTCCAACTGGATACCTCTGCCAGAATTTGAGAAGGGTATGTATGAGCCCTGGGATAGGCGTGCAGGGTGGGGATACTGGCTTCTACCCAGTCATGGCTAGCACGATGACCTCTAAATTCCTCTCAAGCAACAGTTCTCCACATGACCTCCTTGCTCCTTCCCTGTTCCTTTGTATAGGCAATTTCCCCAGTCACCCAGAGGCCAATGTGGAAGCCATTTTCAGTCCTCAGGTCTTATACCCCCTCTATAGGATCAGACATCAAATGCTTCAGTCATTCCCGAGAACATCTTTTGTATTAGTTCTTTCTAACTGTCATGACCCTAGTTCTCCGCTGGCATCTTCTGGCCTGACAGCTTTAATCTAAATGCTCAAAGTGGAAGACTTCTCAAAACCTGCTGCTCACCTCAGTTCCCAGTTTTGTCTTCTGCTGCATCCACACACTGTAACCTTCTGCCCAACCACACATGTCCTCCCATGGGTGTGCTCTGTACTACTTTCCTGTTATGACTGTACAAGTTACCAAAACTTAGGAACCTAAATGGTACAAATTGATTATCTCCCAGTTCTAGAGGTCAGAAGCCTGATGGGGTCTTACCGGACTAAAATCAAGGTGTCTCCAGGGCTGAGTTCCTTCTGGAGGCTCTAAGGGAGAATTGCCTTGACTTTTCCGGCTCCCATAGGCTGGAAGGCCCTCTCTTTGTCTCACAACCCCTCCCCCATCTCAAAGCCAGCAATGCTGCACCAATCCTTCTCATGCCTGGTCTCGCTTTTCCATGTTCAGGGACTCTTGTGATTCCATTGGGCACACCTGGATAATTCAGACTGGTCTCACTATTTTTTTTTAAGTTTATTTTTTTGTTTTGAGAGAGAGAGAGCGTGCGCACATGTGGCAGAGAGAGGTAGGGACAGAGAGAATCTCAAGAAAGCTCTGCACCATCAGTACCACCAGCATGGAGCCTGATGCTGGGCTCAAACCCACAAACTGTGAGATCACGACCTGAGCTGAAATAAAGAGTAGGAAGCTTAGCCGACTGAGCCACCCAGGTGTCCCTATTTTAATGTCAGATGACAAGTAACATTTTTTTTTAATGTTTATTTATTTTTGAGACAGAGAGAGACAGAGCATGACTGGGGGAGGGGCAGAGAGAGAGGGAGACACAGAATCCGAAGCAGGCTCCAGGCTCTGAGCCATCAGCCCAGAGCCTGACGCGGGGCTCGAACTCACGAACCGTGAGATCGTGACCTGAGCTGAAGTCGGACGCTCAACCGACTGAGCCACCCAGGCGCCCCAGATGACAAGTAACCTTAATTCCCCTTTCCATGTAGACTAACTTATTCACAAGTTCTGGGAATTGGACATAGATGTCTTCCGGGGAATGTTATTCTGCCTCCCACATGCTCTATCCCATCCTGTCCCCCACATTATCAGAACTGCTTTTAATTATCTATGCCTCATTTCCCAATTTTTCCAGCAACAATCAATTGAAGATGGTATCAAAAAAACCTCATGTTTAAGTGAAATAAGACTACAAACTGCACCAACATCATTAAAATGCAAATCCTTAGACCTCATTAGACCTGATGAATCAGAAACTGTGGGGTTGAGGCTCAGCAATCTGATTTAATGTCCTCCAGGTGATTCTGAGGCATGGCAAAGTTTGAGAACTACCCCTACCAAAGTTTAAGCCCACTTTAACAAATTAACAGTCTGCTTGTCTGCGGTGTCAAATGCGGTATCTCTTGGCCTCCAAATACGGGCCATGTTCAGGTGGAAGCCAGTGGCTTGGGAGGTGAATGAATTCACCTGAGCCAAACTAAGGAGATACGAGTTTATGGAATACACCGCAGGGGGGCGTCGCAGGACAGTAGCGAAGAAGCAATTTGCAAGGAGGCATTGGTAGGAAGCTGCTTTTAAGGAGGGAAAGTGAGGAGGTATGATGACATATGGAATTTTCCCTTCTTTGGTAAGTGTGCCTAGTTGTAAGTAACCCATTGGTCAGTTAAAGCCTATGGATATTTCGGGGTGGGTTGCCTCATGGGCCGGTTTGTATTCAGCCAGGTGGTCACTATGGCCTTTTCTGCATTCCATTGCTCAAGTCTGTTTGCCTAAAAGCGACCTCTACATTGGCCACCTATGCTAGTAAGGTCTAGAATAGCCCGGGCTATAGATGCTCATTCCAAGCCTATCTCCCTTGCTCAGTCTGTTTCCCCCGCAATTTACAGCGTTGTTAAAAGCTCAGCGATGCACACATTTGGCACCAGTGCCCTTACAGGAACACCCTTAGGACATTAGGATAAGATGAGCATCTGAAAGTAAAGTTTATTCATTAAACACACTAAGTAGGCGGTAGCACCTACTGATGACATCAGAACGACAGCCTAAGAAGGCTGTTTCTCAAAAGGAGGGTTACATTTTGCATACCGTGCTTTCGGGGGAGTACAGGGTGAGCCGGCACCTCTCAATACATACTTGTTACTCTTCTGAATTTTCAGGTCATTACATTAGTAGTGGGATCGTGCATTTTGGTGCAGAAAAAGTACCGCCAAGTGCCAATTTTCTCCAAATTAAACCTCAATGACACAAGTAAAGTGGTTAAACTAAGGGAGAGCGGGGCGGGAGATGCAGCAGGTAACCTGGATGGGACTACTTTCTTTTGCCAAGGTCGGGCTGCACTCTTTCCTTCCCTCATTCCCTCTAAGCTCCTGGGGCCTCCTCTTTGGGTTTTCTTTTTCCGGGGCCTCCTCGGTCAGGCGGCTCGGCCCTTCAACATCAGAAGTGGCCACCGGGCCGGCTCGGAGAGAAGGCGAACACACAGCCCGGGACGCGCGCGCTCTCAGAGGCGGCGGAGAAGCCGGGACCCAGGAAGGCTGCCCCCACGCGGCTCTCGGACGCAAACTCGCCGCCGAGGCCCCGACACCGCCTCCACCCGGACTCACACCCGCGGCCACGCCCCCTGCTGCCGCGCGTAGATAAACGCTGGGCGACTGCGGCGCTGCCGCAGGCGTGCGGCGTGCAACTCGCAGCCAATGAGGTGCCAGGAACCAAAAGCAGTGACCAATGAGACGCTGGGAGGGCCCGGTGGCCGACCAATCGCGACGCTGCGCACCCGGATGTGCTTGCCAGTTCTGAAGCCCATCTGTGGGCAAGTGTGAGGGGCTCCGCACGTGGGGTTGGGGCTGGCAGCCGGCAGGAGGGCTGAGCGTGGGTTTGGTTCAGTGTGTCGTGCGTGCGGGTGGTGTGTAAGCGTCGTCTCCTTGGGGTTTGAGCGGGGGAGAAATCAATGTGGTCATTAGTCGTGGAAAGAATTCCACCGAGGGTGCCGGGACCAGCGTGCGTGGAAGCCCATCCGATGGTACCTCACAGGGACTAGGAGAGACGAGCCTGGTCGGACAGTGAGAATATGAACCTCTTACCTAAGAGCTCCAAGGAGTTTGGCTCCGTGGACTATTGGGAGAAGTTCTTCCAGCAGCGAGGAAAGAAAGCTTTCGAGTGGTACGGAACCTACCTGGAACTGTGCGGCGTGCTGCACAAATACATCAAACCCAGGGAGAAGGTACGCGCGGCCTGGCGGTCCTGAGTGTGTGCTCGGGAACGTGGCAGATGATAACTTTACTCCTGGTGGCTAGAGACAGGCGTGAGGGCCCTAATTGGGCCCATGTTTTGAGGCTTCTCCGCGTCATTCCGGCCCAAAGTAGGCAATTTAAAAATGTTCTTGTAAAGGCTTTCGGATAACAGACATGCAGCGCCCAGCTCACCGCTGAACTAATAGCCTCATTGGGACAGTGACTTCGTTAGTTGGGCAACCTAGGTATGGCCTCCTAGAGAGACCCTGTGCTTTTCTGTCACCGTCCATCCGTGTAGAGCAGACAGTACTTGTGGCTTTACTGGCACAGGAATCTGTTAGCCAAATCGTTGTTGTGGGCACACTGAATTTCAGGCACTGTGCTCAGCCCATAAGCAACAAGAGCAGCAAGGCGTAAACCTTGGGCACGTTCCGGAAGTGACAAGTGGTAAATGCAGCAACGGGGTGGATAGAGATGGAATTGTACTGGAGGTAGGAAAAAAGGAAGGGAGCAAACTAACCTTCGTGGAGGATGTGCCAGACATGCTGGGTGCTGCGTGTGTGTGTGTGTGTGTGTGTGTGTGTGTGTCTGTGTGTGTGTGTCTGTGTGTCTGTCTGTCTGTCTGTTCAGGAGTTGAATTCTCATAATAAACTCTTGTCAGGTTCATTCATGTAGGATATGGAAACTGAGGCTCTGAGATCCAGTTTCTTGCCCAAGGTCATACATGTAGTATGTGGTCACATGGGAGTTTAAACTCAGGCCCATCTAGTCCCAGCGTATGCACTTCTCACCAAACTTTTCCAGAGATGGTGACATTGGGATGGAGCTTTGAAGGATGAGTGGGTGATTGCTCCATAGAGAGGGAGGCAACGACCTGTCTTTTAAGCTTGGCTTTGGAAAATAGCGGAATACCTTAGGTGGACCTGAAGGCATGAGTGGAATAGGATTTTGCCACAACTAGGTTTTCAATAGTAAAACAGGAGATTTGAACTCTACTATATTTTGATTGTGTGACTTCCTATCAGTTCTTGAGTAATAAATGCTTTCTTCAGAGAAAAGAACAAGCAGGATTTGTTTGTTTTTGCAGTATGGAAAGTCTATACATAACTTGCATTGTTGTGGCTGAATGTGGTTTTCACTTGTGAGTTTCTCTAACCATTAGTGTTTCAACATAGAGCCTAGAATAACCTCTGTAACGGTGCTCCGTCCTGTGCATAGCATCTACACCTTCTGAAAACTTGCACCAGCCAAGGCGAGACTTGATCCCGGGAAGTACGTGCAGGTCATTCCGTTGCCTCGATCACTTTCGTCTTGTTGGCTTTTTCCCTCAGGTGCTGGTGATTGGGTGTGGTAACTCAGAGCTAAGCGAACAGCTGTATGATGTGGGCTATCAGGATATAGTGAACATTGACATCAGTGAGGTGGTCATCAAGCAGATGAAGGAACGCAATGCCAGCCGCCGGCCCCAGATGAGCTTCTTGAAGATGGACATGACCCAGATGGAGTTTGCCGACGCTTCGTTCCAGGTGGTGTTGGACAAGGGCACCCTGGACGCTGTGCTGACAGATGAGGAGGAGAAGACCCTGCAACAAGTGGACAGGATGCTGGCTGAGGTTGGCCGTGTCCTGCAGGTGGGCGGTCGCTACCTCTGCATCTCCCTGGCTCAGGCTCACGTCCTGAAGAAAGCAGTGGGTCACTTCTCTCGGGAGGGGTGGATGGTGAGGGTGCACCAGGTGGCCAGCAGCCAGGACCAGGTGTTGGAAGCAGAGCCTCGGTTCTCCTTGCCTGTGTTTGCCTTCATCATGACCAAGTTCAGGCCGGGCCCTGGCTCTGCCCTTCAGATCTTTGAGCTCTGTGCTCAGGAGCAGGGCAAGCCTGTGCGGCTGGAGAGTGCCGAGCGGCTGGCCGAGGCGGTGCGGGAGCGGCAGCAGTATGCCTGGCTGTGCGGCCAGCTGTACCGCAAGGCCGGGCTGGGGAGTGTCTCTCTGGACTTGTGCGATGGGGACACAGGGGAGCCACGCTACACCCTCCACGTGGTGGACAGCCCCGCTGTGAAACCATCGCGGGACAATCATTTTGCCATTTTCATCAGTGAGTTGGGATTGCGCCCTCTCTTCCCTGGAGGGGCTGGCTCTGAGGGTCTGGGGCTTTGGTGGTGGGTATGGCTTGGCTGGTTTTATCTTGCCGGGGGTGGCACTTTAAGAAGTGAGACCAGCCAGGGCATGAGGGAGGGGGCACAGCAGCTATCCGGCTACCTGCTTAGATTTGGGGCTTATTTCTTCACATCTCCCTTTGGAAAGGCCTGATGACGTGTGAGAATGGATTTGGTAGGATTTGGTAGGGAGGACAGAGAGTGACACAGATAAGTATAGGTACGTCTCATATTGTAGAGATAGGAGTTACTTTGTCACATGGAGTCATGGGAGTGACAGAGTCCCAGCTCTGGAGCCTGTGAGCTGCGTGACCTGGGGACGTTTCTGTGCTTCTCTGTTGAATATAGGGAGAGTAGTAGCTAAAGAAGTGACTGTTTGGGTTTCAGTTCTGGCTCGGTCACTTCCTGGTGGTATGACTTTGGACATTGCTTTCTATGCCTCAGTTTCCTCATCTCTAAAGTAAGATCAACTGTGTTATGTAGTTTTGAGAAGTGTAAACTCTCTCAGAATGGTGCCTTACACATGGTAAGTGCTTTATAAACATCAGTGTCATTATTGAAGGGTGTTAAGTGATATCAGATTGGCTCAGTAATGATCAGAAGAGAGAATGAGGAAATGCCTTCAGAAGTAGGAAATTGTGGACAAAATGCAAGATTTTGAAGTCATCATGCTGGTAATTTGCTGACAACTGAGCCATTTTCCCAAGTATTCCATAATTCTACCTGTCCACCAATGAAAACAAATAATAGTACAGCGGATACAGCCATGGAGGGTCGGGCTGGACTGCCTGGGTTTGAATCCCAGCTTCCCCATTTAGTAGCTGTGTGAACTTGTGCAAATAGCTTAACTTGTGTGTCTCAATTTCCTTGAAGTCGTAATATTACTAGGAGTAATAATACTACCTGTATCTTAGACTGTTGTGAGTAATGAATTAGTTTCTGTTTGTAAATTTCTTGAAATAATGTCTGGCATGTAACAAGTGTTAGTATCATTGCTATTTTGTTTTTGTTTTTGTTTTTTTTGCACTAGGTACCTGCCTCTCTCCCCTTATATACATGTATTGTGGGACCTACCATGTGTCTGATGGCTTCTTTGCTCTGGGCATTGTGCACTAGGGAATTGATAGCCCTCACTGGGTCACAGTTGGAAGGGTTGCTTGTCCTTTGCAGGGCCTGACTCTCTGTCCTGTAGTTCCTATTGGCTGGGGCTTGAACAACTCTTCCCGGGACTTCGTGTCACCAGGTGCCTCTTTCCAGTCCCCCAGGGTCGCGAGACCGAGTGGCTCTTTGGCATGGAGGAGGGTCGGAAGCAGCTGGCAGCCAGCGCAGGCTTCAGGAGGCTGATCACCGTGGCCCTTCACCGAGGTCAGCAGTACGAAGGCATGGACAGCATCCAGGCCGAGCTGTCAGCCAGAGTCCTGGAGCTGGCCCCTGCCGGGATGCCCACCCAGCAGCAGGTAAACAGAGCTTCGGCAGCAGCATACACGGATCTCTAGACAAGTCGTATTAGCAGCCAGGAAGGCGGAGGGTGTCTTGGAAGGAGCTAGGACCAGTGTCTGTGCCCCTGTCTATTCCTGGAGGGCATGTCAACAGCTGCGAGCTAAGTGGGCAGAGCTTATGTTCTCTTGCCCCGGGCAGTGAGAGGAAGGTGAGCGGTGGCTTTTCTTGAGACCATTAAGACCCAGGGTAGCATCTGTGTGTGTGGGGCCTCGAGACTCCTCATAGATGGCACGGAGGAAATGCTGTCCACCTTGCAGGCTCCAGCTCTTTCTACTGTGGATTGTACAGACTGTGTTTCTCTTTTCCCTCTTTGTGTAGGCCTTGACCACTCCTTGACCATTTTGCTTTTTAGAATCATCGAGTGTAGAATGGAAAAGAGCCAAAACAGCTCAGGTTCTTTTTTAGGACATTACCTTTGCTGGCCTGGTATTTTACTGGTAAGGAAACTGAAAGTTTTTGCCAAAAGAGTGATGTGTTGTCCATTGACACTGTCTGTCTTGTTCCATCCTGCCCAGAAGGGTAGTTGACAGGTGACTTTTTTGTAGGCACTTTATAGTAAGGAATTTATCCTTCCTGATAGGAAAGCCAAGGTGCCTGGAGGCTCTTTGCAGTAGTGACATATCTGAAAAGATGAACCTAGACCCCTGGTTCTCGCCTGTGCTTCTGCTCACTAGGCTGACTTGTGTTTGCAGATGAATGTGTGTTTGATTCTTCCTGGCAGACTTTGCTGAGACTTTGCTGTTGGTCCATCAGAGATGCAGATCCTGTAGGGAATTTCATTTGTGACCTTCTCTCCAGGACCTGCATCTCTGCGATATAAGGGGTCCCTGGTGATTGGTAAATACTCTTGAAAGTCTTTACAAAGAAATGGATGTGAGGGATGCCTGGCTGGCTCAGTGGAATGTGCGGCTCATGATACCAGGTTTGTGGTTGAAGCCCTACTTTGGGTGTAGGGATTAGTTAAAAATAAAGTCTTTAAAAAAAAGAAATAGATGTGAAGATTGGGAAGGGAAATGGAAAAGTCTATGGGGAAAATGTATTTTTCTCCTAATTTTTTCTCCTGTTTAGAAAAATGAGAAAAAAGATGAGAATAATTGCGGGGAGAAATCTGTCCACACTTGGAATGGTTGCTTTCCCTCTGGATATGTTATTTTTTTCCCTGTTCTGATTCCTTCTTCATAGTTATAGTCCCCTCCTGCGTATTACCTCTAGCTTTTAAGGAAAGTCCTTTTAGGAATTGAGAAATTCATGTTTTTCTTAGGGAGAACCAGTTGCATTTCACTAATGGTTTGGGGGATCTTTATATGTTCACCTCATTTTCAGAAAAAGTGAATTAAACGTTTTGTGATCTATGGAACAGCCCCAGGAGGTTCTTTAATAGAATGGCAAATCTTTGACGTTTTTGCTGGCCAGAACCCTGGTATCGGGACCCTCAGTTAGAAAAGGATTATAGTTTCTCATATGCCACTGCCTCCGACAGTAGGGACGTGTAAGATTACAGACGTCATCAGCGTCAACTGTCTTGTGGTCTGAGAACAGTGAGTACAGACCAGCAAAGGCACATACATTCTTACCTTTCTTCTTTCCAACCATCTTCTAAGTTCATAAGTGTCCAGTTACTTTCCCCTCGAATTGTAATCTGGAAAAGGCTGCATGTGTTGATGTCTAAATTTTTTTTGTTCGTTTATTTAAAAAGGCGATGAGATATATTCCATGAGATAGGTGAAGTACACGGATTTTAAGTATTTCAGTTTGGTGAGTGTTTGCATATGTATCTACTCCTGGAACCAGGTAGAACACTTAAGAATCATGACTCCAGAAATACCTTTGCACTAGGAGAATTTATGGCTTTCGGTAATGCATTATTTGAGCACCCGATGCAATTCTTTCTTGAATTTTTACTTAAACAACAACAAAAAAACCCTTACTGTGGGTAGTATAATGATAGCTGTACTACTAGTAACAGGTTTGGATCTGACCACAGTAGCAAAAATGTTCATGTTCCTGTCTAGATTGTCACTGTCTTCACCCGGAGTCCTGAGTATATCTTATTGAAACACCCTGTACTTTTGGCCTGTCTTGGTGTTGATGTGTGTCCCTAGAGTGTAAGTTCTTATGTTTAATCCTCAGACGTTAATCTATGTTTAACGTCTCCTTTTAGTGATTCTTTCTTGTTTCTTGCCTACTTCTATCCCCCTGTGTTTTCTGTGGTTTCTCTGTACTTAGGACTAGGATGTGGGCCTTTGTTTTCCTGTGATTTCTGGAACTTGGATTTATTGCCCTCACTTGGTTGATGTGTCTGAGAGAGCAATTATGGCCTTTGAGTTGAAAGCTGGGCAGTGAGCATTGCATCTACACTGCCTTGTGATCATGAGCAAGATGTTGGCTGTTGTCCCTCTCAATTCCTAGGGGGGAATCTAATAATGCTCATGGTGGGGACTCTTGGTATGATGTCAGCTGAGTGCCTTGGGACTTTAAGGGTCCCCAAAGAACCATGTACTGGTTCCTCTTCTGGATCTAGTAAAGGAAGGATTGTGAGGCCAGGGTTGAATTTTCAGATGTAGATGTCAGATTGGCTCCTGCATTTTTGGGATGAGACGGAGAAGCTAGGCCTTTAAATCTTGTATCCTCTGGGCAGAGCCAGTGATCCGACTCCCCCTTACCTCTTTACTCTCCCCGAGGCTGGTACAAAACTGTTCATGAGAAGATAGTAAAATGATGCTTTCTTCCTTTATTGCAGAGACCCCACTGGCATTGTTGGTGGTAGGCCTGGGCGGGGGCAGCCTCCCCCTGTTTGTCCACGATCATTTCCCGAAGTCCTGCATTGATGCTGTGGAGATCAACCCCTCCATGTTGGAAGTGGCCACCCAATGGTTTGGCTTCTCCCAGAGCGACCGGATGAAGGTCCACATTGCAGATGGCCTGGACTATATTACCAGCCTGGCAGGAAGAGAAGGTACTGCAATTGGAGAATTCGGAGGGATGTTGAGGGAAGAGTAATCCAAGCTTGGCAGACCTGCAAGGGCTTCTAGAATTCCTCTGTGAGAGAGCAGCGTTAGGATCGTCCCAGTCTTTCACCTGTTCATTTCTTCATTCATTGGTTGACATATTGATTCAGTAAATATAGAGTGCTAGCCATATGCTCAATACTGTGCTAGGAGAACTCACTTCTGGGGCGCCTGGGTGGCTCAGTTGGTTAAGCGTCTGACTCTTGATTTCGGCTCAGGTCATGATGTCATGGTTGTGAGATCGAGCCCGACATTGAGCTCTATGCCAGGCGTGGAGCTTACTTAAGATTCTCTATCTCCCTCTCTCCCTCCCCTACTCTCTCTCTCTTGCCCTAATAAATAAATAAATAATAAAAACGACAACAGTGAGAAACCCCACACCGTTTCTGCCCTTGTGGCACTAACAGATCAGTGGGCTTCTCCTGATTCTCTTCTGACCCTGTGTCCTTGCCACTTCCTCACCTTCCCATGGAACCTAACGTCTGTAGTCAGGTGAATAGAAGGGGGAAAGGATTTGGGGTGTGTGTCAGGAGGTGTTTTGTAAATCTTTCAGCTGGAGGTGAAGCCAGAGATAGCGTTCGTGTAGCCCGGTGACTGTAAACCTGCGGGGCGCTGAGCAGTGGCTGCAGACGGGTGTTAGGTGGTTGTAACCACCGGGTAGGGCTGCTCCGGGCAGCGCGTGAGTAGAGCCTGAAGATGCTGCTAAACATCCTGCAGTGCCCGGGACGGCCACCCACGACAAAGAATCGTCTGGCCCCAGATGGCAGTCGTGCTGAGGATGTGAAACCCTGATATAGATGCCACTCGGCGGGGATTCTGATGGAGTGAAGGCTCCATTTTGCTCTAATGATTCGTATCCCAGACGGAGGACAAAAGGCATGTTAATGTTCTGCAGTCGCTCCTCCAGTCCTTCTGCCACTTTACACGTAGGCTCCCGTGACTGGTGCTTTCCGGAGTGTGTGTCCCTCAGGGAGAAGTCAGTCAGGCTGGTCCAGGCTTAAGGGAACCTGGGGAGCTTAGGCCACCCACCCTTCCTGATCTGCCCGTTCCATACCTGATACTCTGGCTCTCGCTGGATTAGAGTAGCTCCCAGGAGGGTGTGGCAAATCAGGATGCCGGGGGTGAGTCCTTTGGTGCTGGGTGGACAGATGGTGCGTTCAGGGTCATTGCAAACTGAACTGAACTATATCAGAGTTTCACAGGTGACCTGTCTGAGTCTGGGGCCAGTGTGGGGGCCCAGGCCCCACCTAGCCAATACATGGGAAACACTTAAAACCGTGCTAGGCTCCTGGCAGGCACTTCGTGCGTGATGTGTTGCCATTGTGACTGCCTGTCGGTCAGTGTTGAACAGCCTGGCGATCATGTCTAACAGCCACCTTCCAGATTGTTGGAGGGCTCAGTGCTACAAATGGGGGCAGTGGTGTCCTTGGACTTTGATGAGGCAACATGTTCTGCTAAGAAACCAAAATGAGATCTGTGCTGTGGATACTAACAGGCTTGTAGGAGTCCTAAGTCAAGATTTATTAATTAATGAATAATCATTATCATAGTCTCAAAGTTTGCTAAAAGTCAGTAGCATTGCAGACTTACCCCTTGTAAAAGACATTCCCATCATACAAAGGAGTGCATCTGGTTCATAATCAGGTCTTTCTCACCCATTTAGCAAATCTATCTTTCCTGAGTCAGCTGTTGTTCAATTAACTAGAAAAGATATACCAACTTTAATTTGACAACGTTTTTGTCCTGCAGACATTTGCTGGGTCAGTCCCTAAAGGCTTAGGCAGCTGCTTTGCCTAGATCAATGGTTCTCAACTCTGCCTGTATTTAGAATTACCTGGCAGTTTAAGAAAAATACCAGAAGCTTCCCATCTCCCCTCCCCATCTGTTCCTTCCTTGTCCAGTGTTTTTGACTCCGTTTATTAGGAACGGAGCCCAGGTTTCTAAGTGTTTAGAACATTCCCAGTCTCTAATGTTCTGCTATGTCAAAACACTGGTACAAATGGACCCTTCATCAAGTAGTAATCAAGCTAGAGGACACCATTAATGTGTTTGGAAGTCTTTTGAAAGTGCCTCTTTTTTAATGTTTATTTTTGACAGAGAGAGAGAGAGAGAAAGACAGGGTGCGAGCAGGGGAGGGACAGAGAGAGAGGGAGACACA